CCAAAACGACAGCAGAGATGAAAGGCAATGCTGTTTTGAACAGGAGGAGATTGCTTTCCCACAGGTGGATAGAGGTAGCAGTTAAGTTTGTTTCAGTGGAGGTACTTACAAACGGAGCATGCTGTGAATATAGGCTTGGACTCCTCTCTTCCCTGGAAAGTAAGGGACTACTACTAGGGAAAGTCCTCTAACTGACATGTGAAAGGAGTAGAGCAACTGCAGACAGTCATGGGGGGAAAAAAAAAAGACAAACATCTCAGGAACAGGAAAGTACCCAAAATTATTAGACTTTTTGTTAAAAGCAATTGTGATGCACTGTAAGGCCCAGGAAAATACACAAATCTGTCTTCAGTTTGTTTGTAACAATCATGTGATTGCTTCTAACAACAAATACTTGTCTCTAGATGGCAGAGTAATTCTCATGGTATCATAATATATTACAAAAGGAACTGGCCCAATGTTTTTATAAATTCCATTTTCATCGGTGGTTTTTATTTTGCTTTTATCAGATTTAGTTACTATTTCTATCCGATATTTCATATAGTATTTTAATCTATAATTTAACTCTTACCTGTTCTTTGATAATCAGTCTCTGGAGTTAAAGGTTAAGCAAATGGCAGTTGTCATATAAGGGCTTTTCAAGAGTGCTGCTCGTATAAAAGCTCATAGTTAAACTTTTTTTTTAAAACTTTCTTTTTCAAATAGAAAATTTGTGCTTTCCTTCAAAAATGGTGTGCTTGCAACTCCTCTAAGTTTGGGATGCTTTTAAGATACATTGAGATACTGAGACTGAGTAATTTAGAAATCCAGGAAATGATTGTGCTACATTTTCACATGTTAAATTAGCTGAAGACATCTTGGGTAGCTTCATCCAAAAAGTGCCTATGCTGGCCCTCAGTCTAAGCCGAGCAAAGACATTGCAGAGACAAGAGACAGTAACTTAGTGCACAGCATCAGAGGGGATGTAAATATGTGCTCTGGTTCAGTCAGGGCCCCCTTGCCAAACTTAAACTCAGATGTTGGGTCCACATTTTTTGCCTATAGCCTTTCCTGTAGCAAGCCATGACATAGTACTGTCTGTGCCAAGATTTGTAGAACAGGAAACAAGAGGAACTGTTCTGGCTGCTGAGAAAACCCGTCCCCAAAGGAGGTTTAGAAACAGCAGCAACATCAGTATCACGGGCTGAGCTGCAGCACTTCTGCCCTGCGGCTGAGTCAGCTTGTGCCAGCCAGATCCCTGAAAGTGACTTCTCAGATGATATTTGGAGAGCAGAAAGCTTTCTAAAATGCAGCATTATCACATAATATGCAGTAATTGACCTCTGACAGTCTTTTTCTCTGTGAATTTCTGACCAATAGCTTTGATCATTAAGAGAAGTTGGATTACCTCACTAGAACTTCCATCTCTTGGAAAATGACATGAGTTGGAGATCCAGGCCAATACTCCAGCTGTTCCCACCACACCTGTGTCCCCTTGCAGAGGCTGGCAGCATTCTCCTGCCTTGAGAAGAGAGTACTTGGAGTTCTTCTGACACCAACACAGAAATGACCAGGGTCGTTCCCACCTAATAATACCATTATAACCTCTCTTTTCCCCTCTCCTAATACATATCAGTAGAAAAATGGGTGCTATTGTTAATTGATTGCTAATTTTTCATTTGGAATACTTTTGGGGAAAAAGTTACAATGCTGGTGGAGGTTACTGTAAGTGAAGAATTGCCTCATGCAAAAATTTAGAATCAGCATGCATTGCAGAGATACAGTCTGGGGGTAAACAGTGCTTCAAGTTGTTTTTACAGCTAGTGTGTTAAAAAAACTAAACCCAAGGCTTTGTTGCAGAGGTGCTCTGTTCTGTGGAATACCAAAGTAAACTGTAACTGTGGATTAGTACCTAAAGGATTATTTCTTTGGCAGAATAATCTGTGAATTCTACTGCTGCTAACTGAAGCCAGCTTCACCAAAAATGCTTTTAAAATACTCTCTTGAAATCTGCTCTCTCAGAGAGTGAAGGCAGATTGTCTTGACTCCTTTCAGCAACGCAGGAAAGAATACTGGAAATGCTTAGGCAAATAGAGATATAACATACAACAGAAAGATGTACTGCAATAGAGGCATTGACATTGCACCTCTGAGCTCCTGTTCACATCACTCAGCTTTCAAAAATGATGGACTGGGAAGCTGTGGAAAATTGTAGGCAACTACAGTAGCAACAGTTCTCACTTTCATGTTTTTCAGAAAAGCCACACTGTCCTTTATGGGCTATTAATTTGTGAAGTCATTTATCTCAGGGCAAGACTGTATTTACAGAAACTAACTTAAAGACAGAAAATTGTAGCCTGGGATTTACAAATGTCACTGCGCATGATGCCAGGATAAACAGAACAGAAATTAATTTCAGTTACATCTACCCTGACGCTTCCCAAATTCTTTTTTTACATTGCCTCTTGGCATTATATTCTTTTCCTATTCACCTACAACAAACCTCTATCCAAGCTAAAGAAATACATGGCATCAAATAAAAATGTCCTTCATAATAATTGAAATAATTAAATATTATAGCTAGCTCTGCGTCTGGTAGAGATTAACAGGGACTTTTTTTTTATGCTATGACCACTGCAGTTTTCTAGTGGCATCCTTCTTTCTCACTTCTTTATCTCCTCTTTATCTTCTTTATCTATTACTTACCTCAGTTGTAGATTTAGAGGGAGGTGTCTTCAGGGGGGCACTGCATAGTGGTGTGGCTCACTGCGGCACAAGTAGTGTGTGTGCTACTGTAGCACAGCTCATGGGTAGCGTGTACGTCCCGGCCCTTCCTCGCCAGTGCTACACTCAAGAGTGCAGAGACGTTACTCTGCCTTTTCCCATCTTTATCTTCATGAGTTTGTCGTCTTTTGAAGCTGTTTGACCTTCTACCAAGGAAAGGTCAAGCCAAGATACAATGGTCCTAACATAATCTTTACTTAGTATGATTTCCTAGACTCTTTGGGCAGAGACCTTGTTTTCCATTTTAAGCTATCTGTTTTCTGCAATAAAACACTGAATATGTATCTCTGTTGCTATAGAAATAATATTGCATTAAATGAGGGAAGCAGTGCCCTGCTGTCGACAAATCTCATCTAAGTGTTAGTCTCTAGAGCTTGAATTTCACCACTGGGAAGAGGTATACATAATTCTACAAATTATTTCTGTAACTTATGCATAAACGACTTTATACTCTGAAACTGTTAGCTAAATTTCCCAAAGTGATAGCATGGAGATTAACATGGTGTAATGTGTTTACATATATCTTAATAGAGCCTTCCCCCTCCCCTCCCCCGTGCATTTTCATCATTATAGCTTGAAATTTCCAACTCTTTGCATAGGAAGGTGGGGAGTGGCAGGAAAAGAAGCTTTCTCAGCCAGGTTCCCTACCCTATGGACAACAGTGTGCCAGGTTTATTGAAATTTTTGTTTTATTTTTTAAAATCCAGCTCTTCCAAGTAACATGAGATGTCGTTTGCCCTGTTTTTTCTAGGATTAATAAGGATAATTTCCATAACTGGAAGGACAGCCTTAAACTGACCATGGTCCTGGTACATGAATACACCCCACAAACTGATCTGCTGTCCGCTGCTTTCTAGACTACGCTGGGTATCACATGCCCAGTATTTCTCAAGTCACTCCAAGATTTTGCTGCAATAACTTTCTACCCTGTACAGCAGTTAAACACAAGAGAGTTGTGGATTTTGGCTTTGTGCACCACATATCAAATCTCACATCTGTCTTTACACTGAGACATAATTCAGACATAATGTGAATTTGTTTTTTTCCTAGTATTTTTGTAAAGCTGTAGAATTCTAGTAACAGCAATAAGGTGGTACTTAAACCTCTATCTATAGGTTATGGAAAAGGAATTTAAATATTTGCTAATAATAGTTACTAAGTGTCAGTGTTTGTCAACATACTGATCATACATCTTTTGAAGAAACATGGAGAAAAAATCTTTTATCTCATAGTTACACTACAGGAGACTCTCTAATACATTTCTATGTATTATATATGTATAGTTAACAAAAATAGAACACAATTTAAAAATGTGATGCTTGATTTGCATAGAGCCATATGCAAATTAATGTTATAAACCTGATTTCAGAGTTCTTGTAAAAATCCTGTTACAAAATGCAGTTGGTATTTGTGAAACAGACCCGTGTCAGATACATGTTATGTACTGTGGGACAAAATACAATTTATAAATGTTCAGTGTAATTCGTGAATAATAAACATATCAATGGCCTCTGACTAAAGATTACTCTTTAGAAAACTTGAAAAACTCCATCATCATCAGAATAAAATAACTACTTTTTAAAAAAAAAATCCTTTCTAAATTTTTTTTTTGGTGATTGCAAATTAATGTAGCAATTAGATAAACCTTCCTAGACAAGGACAAATTTCTGATAGCCAGAGAGTAACTGTCGGGTATGCATATCAATACAAAAACAGAGATGCAGGAAAAACTGGCAAAGTACACAACTACCTTTCTTTGAAATTAATGCCATGCTCATTATTAAAACAGACTCATCATATAAACAAGTCACCACAAGACACTAATTATATTTTTGCTGTTAAAGTAGTTCTTGTAATGAAAAAACCACATCCTTAATTCCTTTGCTCAGCCATAAAACATAAACCAGAAGTTGACCCATTTTTTACCCTTGTGTAAAGCTGTTACACCATCCAAGGTTGCTGCTTTTTTTCGCCAGATCATCAGCCCATACATGAAAAGAATCAGCCTGTGAAAGCCTTTTTGTCCAAACCACTGACCGTTACATCACCTACTGCTACGCTATCCGTTGGTTCATATCCAGAGCCTTGCTGAAGGGAAGGGAAAGGGTTGAGCGGACATACAATATTAAAGTGAAGATGTACTCTAGATCCCTGCATAGTAACATGATCACATCTGATATGGACTATTTTGTTACTAGAGCATAAACACTACAATGTGTGGGTTTTTTTTTCTATAGGAACTCAATGGAGAAAGGACCAAGAGCAAGATTTAAAGAATGTTCTGAAGAACACTGACCAGGATATCCCACTGGTATTTGTCAGTGGAAATCACGATGTTGGCAATACTCCAACAAGAGAAACAATAGATAATTATTGCAAGAACTGGGGAGATGACTACTTCAGCTTTTGGGTTGGAGGTGTTTTCTTTCTCGTGCTGAATTCTCAGTTATACTTTGATTCTTCCAAATGCCCTGAGTTAAAGCAAGCCCAGGATGTGTGGCTCAATGAGCAACTGGCTGTTGCTGAAAAACATAAATGCAAGCATATAATAGTATTTCAGCACATCCCTCTCTTTCTGAGAAAACCTGATGAAGACCACGATTATTTCAACTTGGAAAAATCCGTTCGTCAAGAGATAATGGAGAAGTTTCATAAAGCAGGTATTTTCTCAAATTTTTCTATTTTTCAGTTTTTCTTTCAAATTGTTAATGACTATGCTGCCAGACAAAATAGATTTAACTCAAATGGTACTGCTTTCAAGGAAATTTAGATACGACTTATAAGCCTCATTGTTCCCTGTAGGTCAAAATTATCAACTGAATCTAATCACCTGTAAAAAGTACTAAACAAAATTTAAAACCTTGAGTGAAAAGTAAAAAAATGAAAGTGAAAAACTCTTTAATAGCAAGAATTCCATTTTGCAAGTACTGATAGATGTAAGACAACCTGAGTTTTTCCTGCCTAAGGAGTACAAGATCAGGTATTGCCATAGGAGAAAAATATAGCATTTATGTTTTACATAAAACACAGAAACAGAATTCAGAATTACCTTGGAGGTTGTTTTCTCCCACACTGAGCCAATTTTAAACCAAAAGTGTAATGTACTCTAGATTTATTCAGTGTTAAAAAGTGTCTTGCTCTGCTAAGATCAGTCCTTTGCATATCCATTACTAATAGGGGCCATTTCTGGAATGAAGGGCAGGTGGAACATGTGCTAAACAAGTATATGGTACCAAATCCCTCAGCTTTGTTTGATGGAACTTGAATGCCATGGAGACAGTCACAGTACGCAGCTACTCCTCCATGCTGTTCCTGTTGTTTCCTGTTAATTGCCTTCATGTTCCTGGGGTGTGCTAGTCCCTCAAAATTTTCTGCCAGCCTGCCACTGCTGCATCGGAGTGGTGTTTTCTCTGTATCTGTGAGAGAGCACGCACATTATTTGGATTACCAAACAATGCAAATTGTTTATGATATTGTTCCTAATTTGCCATATAATGGTTAAGCCTGGACTCATGCAAAACCAGCCTAATTTCCAAGCTCTGAACCTCCTACTGTTTCCAATCAGTGAGGTCAAAATTCACAGCTATCCAGGGGACTGACATATTTGCAGATTCAAGATTTGCAAGTGGGTTTTTTCCCATAAGAGAATACCTCATAATCTCTTTTTTTTTTTTATTTTTGTGCTAGTGTTAATATAGTGGGAAGTATTGCTATCGGAAAGTTGGGCAGCTAAATGACTGCTTATGTACTGTTGGCCCAAAACACATCCTTGTTCATTGGAGAGCTTGTTAGCAAAAGGACATTGGCATACAGGTATATCCTAGTAAATAAGCATTAATGTGGAAACATGCAGGTCTGTTCTAGAGTTTTCTGTCATCCAGATGGTTTACTAACATTTGGCAGTACTCAGTACCGGGAATATAATTAATCAAGAGATAAAATAAATTATGCAAAATGTTATCATTGTAACATTTATCATTGTTACATTATCATGTTTCTTAGAGGGATATTTCAGACTGATTCTCCTAATGTGTATCCATAGGCTTAACCAAAAGTTGGGTAGGCTTCAAATGATGGGGGAAAGGAAGAGAGAATAGGAAGCCAGCAATACAAGACAACTCTACAGAAGAAATTCCCAAACTCCTTTCTGTGCCAACATCCCATTTGCACCTCCATCAATTCCTGTTGTATCCTTGGTTCCCATCCCTAAAAATCCTCCCAACATGATGTGTTGTTTGGTTCCTTCATGAATACGTTAGAACACTTATCTTTTGCTTGCTGTTTTGTATAAAAGTAAATGAGTCAGTAGGTAGTATCCACAATCGAATAATCAAACATTTTGCGAATTAAAGGAATACAGAGAGGAAGGAGCTCAGTGTAACTCAGACTGCTGAGAAAAATCAGCTGCATCAAAAGTTGGCTCAGAGTTTTCTTAGTAACGGGTGTGTTCTGTTTCGATTTTATTATTTGATTGAAGAATGGTCTTTGTAAGACCACAGAAGGTTATCAGTGCATTGCAAACAGGCAGTTACGATAGGGCAGATGCACACGTGTGCAATGGCTCCACTTACTTTCTGACTCTGCTTTGCCAAAGAATAATCCATTTCAGCGTGTCATTAGACATCCCATTGGTTTTCCCTCAGTTCACTTTGCACGTTCTTGGAGAATTAAAACACAAAACAATCAGATACTTCACGTATGGTGGTATTGCACAGGTGCTTTAAAGTGAGGGATGCAACTTCAGAAGATTATTATTTTAAATTCAGAGCCCAGATCTTCTGTAGTTATTATCTTCTAATCACTCATGTATTACATAATGGGTTTGGTTTAAGTATCCGCTCTTTAGAACCAGAGATAAAAGACTAGCTGTAGAGGCTACATCTGGTACGAAATACTGAATTACATTTCTCACATTAGAAGTGTCCTTAACAGTTGGGCTAATTAAAGATAAAATCATGTCCTTATGATAAATATTTATAAATTGAAAATCTGGCACTTGTAAATATGTATTACTACTATGCAAAGTTAAACCATACTTGTAAGCTTCACGTCTAAGAAATCCTTCTAGCCCATTTTTTCTGTAAATGCATTAAAACAAGCCTTGTCCTTGAAAAAGTGATTTCAGTGACAGTGAAAATCAAGTCAGTTGAGAACATAGTTTATCATTTAAGTGAAAATATATTTCTGAGAGCGTATTTGTATAACTTCTAAAGTTTAGCCTCAGTTTTCAAAGCTCTATCTCCTCTACATGCAGAAGCTAAGTACAGAAAAAAGTTGTCTGCAAGAGCTGTGAATGAGCTGACCTGACGTTCTCATCCGTGAGATCTGCTGGAGTCAATCAGCTCTGCTGTGTGAAATGCATATTCAGCTTTTAAGAATTTTATAGTGCTGATGTTAATGTTTGTTCTTAGCTTTGTAAGGAAAATGAAGAATCTGGGTAGCAGTCTAGCCAAAAATCTGGTCTGCATGTCATGTGTCTTTGATAAACATATGTAATAAACTAGTTTTTAAATTAAGCAGTTTATGTCATAGAAGACATACTTTTTCTTACGTACCTTATTCCAGTATAATTTTCTTAGGACGTTAAAGGTACTTTTTTTTCTGTGACCTGAAAAGTATAAGATATTTTTGCTGATCTAGGACAATCTTTTCTCTCAGACTTTTTGTCCTGGGAACCATCACTGACACAATGAAACTACTTATATTACTTAACACAATGCAGTAATAAATGTTTCTTAATGGCCCTAATGAACTAAAACATATAAGCAAATGTCTGAACTTAACAGCTCTGTTGAATAAAACCTAAATTAATAGCTGTTTTTTCACCAACAAAGTTGAGAAAAGAATTTTTGGTTCAGAGAGGGATGAAGAGTATAGGTGGTCTGCCTAGGTGAGAGATTTTGCATTCAAGAGAGAATCGCTAGGTAACAGATATAAAATACAGAAGGAAATTCCCATCAGTCTTCAGCTTCTTTTAATGAAGAAGTTTTAAATTCCTCTAAATGTCTTCGAAACTATTTTTCAGATGTGCTTAAGAATACTTAGTTTTTACATACGGGGGAAAAATAACAACCTAACTTTATTAAATGGCATGTTTTTTCATTATATTTGTGATTGTAGGTGATGTAACTTCTAACACCTTTGCTCATTAAAAGAGTGTGATCCTACATTCTCCTCCTAGAAATGTTATGACAGGAGAGTAGTATTAAAGGAAGAAGCAGCTTTCTGAATATCCACAGCAGAGATATATTTGAGCACCAAATTAAAGCATGGAGTGCTGAAAGCTGTTGTTGCTAAAATTTACCAGACAACATATGCTATGTTTCATTATTTTTTTTGTTGTGTAATCAAAGTTGACAAGAGAGTAATATTTTCTTCTTCCTGCCATTGAGACCTTGATTTTGGCAAAGCCCATACACTGAGTGAGTAATCTAAGTGCTTGCTTACATGTCGCTGTGTCAGTATTTAAGATAGTTTAGATTTAAATATTCTCAACTTTAGTCATTTAGATAAACATCTTTCAGCCTTGAAATGATGCACTCATGGTACAGGTAGAGTGACCAAATTTGGTATCTTCTATGTCACTGTGCACGAACAGTGTTTTTTAAGACCATTCCCGAGGTATGATAACGTAATTTAGTGTGTAGATACACATAGACCTTTTTTGTAGAAATTCAGCAGCAACTATGAAATTACCTTTATTTAGTATAGTCTGTAATGACATTGAGTAATATTTGTTCTTAATCTAATTTTTGAAATGTTTTCTTCACTGGGCTGTAGTTTTGGTTGATAAAAACTTCTTTTTGATCTTTAGACCATGCAGCAAGCCAGGATTGTTTGGAGTTTGTGTTGGGTCTATGAGAAAGCTTCGCTTTCAAATGGAAAAAACAGCAAAACCAGGAAGTAAATTGCACTGAAAGATCATGAGGCATTCACAAAAATTAACCTGAAGTACAGACCTTCTAGAGACAGCACCTCTGAAGGCTTATTTAGACCAGGGTCTAAATAAGGTGATCTGGAATCACCTTCTGTCTGTGCCTGTTGTTTCTCCTCTGATTATACAGGAAAAACAAATGAGTCGAAGATCCTTCTCTATATAAGCTGTTTTCAGTGTTGTCCTATATAAAAGTACTTTTGACATAGATACACTTTACAAACTAATATTTTGTCTCCCACTTACACAGACCCACTGGCCACCAGTTGCATCAAGCACTGGATTCTTTAGCCTACAAAGCAAATTTAAGGAAGAGTTTTCCTGCAAGTTTGCAGGATCGTGTTTGCAAACAACAGTACAAGGGGAATTTTTATTAAGATGCTTATGGTGCTATGCGCTGTAAATTCTAATTATTCAGTTCTATTTTATTTACACAACTCATCTGATGAAGAAGGTAGGGTAACACAGAGCTTCTAAAGGGCTGCACAAAATAATTCTATAATGTTGTTTAAGGTTGACTGAAGAGGTTCTGAAATGGAGGGTGAAATCCCCAACACCTATCAGTGGGGCTGTTTCCTTCTTCTGGAGCTCTGTGGTGGGAAATGATTCGGGTTTTTTTGGAGAACAGGGTTTGAGAACTGCCTGAGCACTGAACAGTTCTGTTAAAAGTGCTGTGACTGATGCTTTCACATCTTTGTTTGCTGCTGTAACACCTGCTTGGCAGAA